CCGGGGGATTATCTGGAATTGGTGGGCACACATGTCCATTTCTCAGAACAGGATAAGGTGCCTAGAGTCATGGGAAGACCTGTGGAGGCTCACATGGCCAGGGCAGAGCCGCTGGACCCTCAGATCCCTCCCGGGCACCGACGTCCAAGACCCCCTGGTAAAAAGTCTAAAATTCCAGGCACCTGTCTTGGGGGTGGGGCACTTGTGAGCTTTAGCCTCTAGTTGAACCATGTGAAAGTGCCAATATGCAGCCAGTTTTGACCTACAAAAGTGGAAATTTCATACTGTTCAACCTAAAACATTAAATTTCAAAACATCACACACACCCTGGGCTGACGGTGCCTGTCCACACTGTGGTTGATGAGATGTCAGCATGTTGGAGCTGAAGGCCAGGATCCCTTCCTAGAGGGACCCACAGCCACCCCATCTGTGGTCCTGGAGCCCGTGCATGGGCCATGCGTGGGCGTCACGGAGCCCAGCCTGCCACCGGCCTGGAGGAGTCTGCCCTCCTCCAGCCTCTGCCTCTCTGCTCCTGCCCTGTCCGCTTCGGCAGGTTCTCCTGGCCGGGGGGGCCAAGCCTTCACCCTCCCTGCCCGCTGGCACCGCTGGCATGTGGACCGGCCACGGTGCCCCCTCCCAGGCAGCCCTCCTGGTCTGTACCTCCCACCTGCCGAGGCACTTGCCATGAAGTCCACGCCATCTGGGCATGGTTGCCCTGTGGACCAGGGGCCGAGCCCAGGCCGTCCCGGGTTCAGGAGGCAACAGGTCCTTAGGAGATGGGAAGTCGGACCACCAAACTGGCTTTTCTGGGGGAGTTTAGGGTACAGGACACCTCAAGTGGTGAACAGCCCATGGGGACCCAAAACTCAAAGTTTAATTTAAAATTACGATACGATATCACTAATTAATAAAATAGAGAAACGTGGGACCCAAGAACCTAGAGGACACGGTGCCTGCCAGGAAGGCCCAGGCATGGGGGGTGGTCTGTGGCACCGCACTGCTGGGGTCGCCACACGGCCACAGGTGGGCCCTCTCCAGACCTCCAAATCCTGGGTCCACCTGGTGTGGCTGAGTTAGCAGGACCAGTGACACAGTGGAGGCCAGGGGTTCACCCAGGACACACGGCTGCCGGAAGAGACCCTAGGACAGAAGGGCTGAGGCTCCCCTCAAGTGAGCCCAGCGGTGCGCCTGCCCTCGGTGCTGGGGCTTCCCGGCCTCTGGACCCTACAGTGCAGGCTGGTGTGCAATTTGGAGCTGGGAAGAGACAGCGGCCCAGCCGTCCCCTTGTCCCTATGCGCTCAGTCAGCCCCTGACTCATCCCAGGGGGTGGCGGCGTCCTCCCTTCCCTGCCCACCCCCGCCCCGGTGTCGCTGTATATACCAGGTTTAGCCAGTAAGCTCTGGCCTTGGGAATGTCCCCCAGCCTCATGTGCACATGATAAAAATAGAAACATTCAAGGCTTCCCTGGTGGCGCAGTGGTTGAGGGTCCGCCTGCCGATGCAGGGGACATGGGTTCGTGCCCCAGTCCGGGAAGACCCCCCATGCCACAGAGCGGCTGGGCCCGTGAGCCGTGGCCGCTGAGCCTGTGCGTCCAGAGCCTGTGCTCCGCAGCGGGAGAGGCCACACAGTGAGAGGCCCGCGCACCAAAAAAAAAAAATAAAAAAAAATAATAGAAACATTCAGATTCAAAGACCCCTGGTGTTTGAAGAGCCGTAACCCTGGGGGGCCTATGCCGAAAGCTCCTTGCTGGGTCTGGGAGGGAGACACGGGGAGCGGGCAATGCAGGAGCCCCCAAGATGCTGGCCTCACTTCACCACGTCCAAACCAGCCACTGAGCAGTGGGGCTGCTGGGGGCCCGCAGGGAACCCCAGAGACGCCCAGCCTGGCAGCTGGGGCAGGAGGAGCCAGCAACGGGGCTTCCCGGGCGGCCCAGCGTTTAGGACTCCGCGCTGCCACTGCAGGGGCACGGGTTCCACCCCCGGTCAGGGAAGTAAGACCCCACAAAACGTGCAGCACAGCCAAAAAGTAAACTAAATAGATGAGAGAGAGAGAGAGAGAAAGAGAAGCCAGCAGGGCACCGGAAGACCTGCAGCCGCTGCCCCGCAGCCCAAGCCACCGCGTCGTGGGCTGTGCGTGGCCCTGCAGCCGCTGCCCCCGTCACCTCCCCACCACACTCAGGCTACTCTCCGGGGCCCCTGGCTGCAGTCTCCTCTGCCCTCCACGCCAGGCTCACTCCTTCCCTGAGCCTCCACCAGCCCTTGCTCGTGGCAACATCCCTTCCTTGTCCTCGGGGAGGCCCGTCCAGATCACCCACCGACCACTCCCCCTGGCCTCGCGCTTCCCCCGGCCTTCACCTGTGTACCTGGCTGTCCCAGGGTCTGTGCTGCCCCAGGAGTGAGACTGACCCGGGAAACAGGAGCCCCTCGCCTGCCGCCTGCTGGGCCCAACTGCTCGGAAGACGCCTCCCGGGAGGCAGAGCTGGCGCTGCTGGGCGCCCAGCAGCCATGGCTCAGGCTCAGCCAGCCCCGCGTCCTCTGGATGGGCCTGGGCAGC